TATATATATATATTAATTTATCAATTATTTTATTATAGATCTCTACGTCCTACACTAGGAATCATCGACCCTAAGCATACTCTGACATTGCCGGAGAGAGTATGTGCTTACTCCGGTTTCGATGTGCTCTGTCACGCTTTGGAATCTTTCACAGCGATATCCTATACAGAGAGAACACCATGTCCATCAAATCCAATTTTGAGACCAGCTTATCAAGGTAGCAATCCTATCAGCGATGTCTGGGCGCGATATGCTCTCCAAGTTATGCGCAAGTAATTAATCAGTCAATTACTTATGAAAAATTGCATATTCAATATCTGCACGTATTTGTACATATTTACAATATCTGTACAATACCTGTACATATTTTGAACCAAGGATTTCCAGATAGTAAGTTAAAAAGTTAATTTTCATCAAGTCAAAAGTAAAATTACAAAATTATATTAAAATATAAAGCATTATTCTAATTGATTTCAAAATAATTACATTACTTTTACAAAAACAAAAACTGTTTTTCAAATATGCATAGAAACCGCTTAAAAATTTTTGATATCGCTTAATTTTTCATCAATTAAATATAATTTATGTCATAAAATTTAAAAAATGTTGAGAACATTAAAAATTTTTTTGTTTCAAAATAACTGGCTTCAAAGAAAATAAATAATTTAATTTTCCAAAACTTATTTTTTTAAAATAAATATTGTTTATTCATAAATGAACATGTAATTTTTTATATAGATACTTTGAGCGAGCAGTTTATAATCAAGAAGACTTGGAAGCAAGGAGTCATATGCATTTAGCAAGTACAATGGCAGGTGTTGGTTTCGGAAATGCTGGTGTTCATCTTTGTCATGGACTTTCGTATCCTATAAGTGGAAATGTTCGAAATTTCCAACCAAAGGTAAATTAAGAACTTGAATTTATACTTTTTTTATAATCAATAACAATTTTAATTTACTTAAATACAAAATTTACGATAATTTATATTTAAACTTCTACATATTTATCGCAAATATTCAAGCAACTTTTATTTAAAAAATAGAAAAATATTTGATTACAATAGCTTTCCAAATAGCAATTCAAAAATATGACTCCTCTCTTCTTCCGTTCTCGAGAGAAATCTCCACACACTTTATCTCTTATTTAGAATATATTTGTAAAATTATATACCATATCTTCCTAACTCTAGCTTATCAAATTATTAATTATTATATAGTAAATAATTGTATATTTTAAATTATTTAAAATTCTTTGATATTTTTATTGAATTTTTATTATATTTAAGGGATACAGCAATGATCATCCCATAATTCCTCACGGTTTATCCGTGGTGATATCCGCACCAGCAGTGTTTTCCTTCACCGGAAGCGCATGTCCAGATAGACATCTGGAAGCTGCAAAATTACTCGGAGCGGAAGTTCAAAATGCTAAGCAGGCTGATGCAGGCAAAATTTTGGCCGACATTATAAAGGAATATATGCACCTTATGAAAATCGAAAACGGTTTAACAGAACTCGGTTTCAAAAAAGAAGATATTCCTACGTTAGTTCAAGGCACTTTACCTCAGGTAAATAACATTCAGTGCATATATTCTTATTAAATAGAAAAATTACACATAATTAATATAAAATGTAGTATAATGATCAATACATTTGTCTAGGTAAAAACGCCATTAAAAATCACATTAAAATTTATCTCCTTTTTTCTTCTAGCATCGTATCACGAAATTGGCGCCACGTGAACAGTCAGAAGAGGATCTTGCACAATTATTCGAAAATTCATTTACCATTTATTAATTTAATATTTATAAAAATTAACGTTTTAATTAATTATATAAATTATATAAGTATATAAATTAAATTGTAATAATATTATTTTTATACAAAAAACAAATTTTATAATTTTTATAAAAAAACATAAAAATTAGATTTAGCTAAAAGATTAATAATTAAATAATTGTGAAATTGTTAAATATTATACATACATATGGATATATAACATATATGTAAGTTTTTAATTAGTTTATATAAATATATGTATGTATACTGCTCAAAAAAATTATGGCATAGAAAAATTTAAAGCAAAAAAGTTAGTCAAATTTGATTAATGATAACTTTGCGAAAAATTATCGTAGGATAACGAATTTTTTTTAATTTAAAATGCTATGAAGCTTAAGTTTAAAGTGCCCTTTTATTGTAATCTCTAAAAATAATCGCAGCAGCTTGCATTTTTTTTTAAATTAAAAGACAAAAATGAAAACATGTTTATCATATTAAAAATCATCAAATTTATGCGCGGATTTGTTACAATTTTTGGTAGGATGCCGTTTGTAGCGCCATAAAATTCGAACCTTCCCTTTTAATTTAAAAAAAAAATGTAAGCTGCTGCGATTATTTTTTGCAAAGTTTCACAACACTATAATCCTTTTTTTATATGTACCTATTTTTTATATCCCATTTTTTATATGTACACTGAAAGAAAAGATTGATTGCTGCAACAATTTAGATAGTGAAATATGGCATTTTTATATGGTTGCAGCAATCAGTTTCTGATTGTAGCAGTAAATTTTTAGTCTATCCGCAATATCAGTATGATTAGGCTAACGCAACTAAAAATTTGCTGCTACAACCAAAAATTGATTGCTGCAGCCGTATAAAAATGCTATGCCATATTTTACTATTTTAATTATTGCAGCAACCAATTTTTTTTTTAGTGTATCAATAACATTATCATTATTGGATATGTCTTAACGAGAAATAGTTTATAAAATCAATATCGATTCGATGTCAAAATGATAATTTCAATGAAATTAAATTACTTAACAAGCCGATATTGCATAACGACGTATATGAAATATTCATTAAAACAATGACAATGTATACGTTTCGATCCTTATTCCGGACCTCTTTAATACGTTAATAATAAAAAGTAATTGTCAAATATACTTATTAATGAAGTCATGACATAGGCTCGGATTACTACTAATTAACAGGGAATGGAAAATTACTTTTTAAAAATAACAACTTACAGTTACTCGTTACCGAGTACAAAAAATAACTACAATTATTAGTTGCCGATTTTTTAAAGTAACTCGTTATAGTTTTATTTGAAAAAATAAGTCTTCATTACTTTTTTGTTATTTTTTTTTTAAATTGAAAACATCAATCACAGCAGACGAGTGCCTAGGGACTTTCTAGTCTCAAGCGTTATGAGTAAATTGTGTCTGATTGAACCATGTCCAATCGTAACGTTAAAAGTAACTGTAAAGTTCGTTACAGTTACCAAAAAAATGTAACTATATTATCGTTAACAAAAAAAAATAACGCAGTTACTAGTAAAGTTATCCAAAAAGTAACTTGTAACTGTAACTTCGTTACAAGTAAAACGAGTTATTTCCATTCATTGACCTAACAAGAAGAATTGTTGAGAAGGAAACATCAAGTCATAATAAATAAAAATATGTAGACTCTAAACAAACCGACACGGAGCGCTTACACAGCATACGTTACAGTATCAATCACATTATTAATATGGAAAAAGAAAGATACCATACTAAAATCATAATATTATGTAAGAAAAGTAAGAAGAGGATTTTTGTGCAATTGTGTTGCAATTAACATATGATTAAAATTATATAAATAGGCTTCTAATCTGTCAAATAGTGATAAAAGAGATCGCGATAAAATAGATTCAAACTTCAAAAATATCATTATTTATGTATGTCCGTCAAAAAATCATATATATATATATATATATATATATATATATATCTGTAATTGAACTTTATAAACAGTTTCTATAAACGCTTCTTCACATCGTTTCCAAATCATCTGTGATTAGTTACTAATATTCCATACATAGCGGTATATAATGGCAGAAACAGAAGTAGAAGACAATTTGATTCCAGCTCGTCGCTGGATACGTGAACATTACATGAAATTGACAAGGAGTAACAAAGCAATATGCAATCATTATGACGAAAAATTCATTATATGTATTAGTCTTAGATACATTTCATAAGCACTTGGTAGAAATTCAGACAAATTAACAGAAGAAGAGAAGAAAGAAGTAAAATTCTATAGGGATCATTTTACTTTAAAAGGCGATACAAAGACAACATGTAAAGCAATTACTTGCTTAACTGTAACTAAATTAAAAGAACATTTGAAAAGAATTCAAAAATAAGTATATATACTCCAATTATATAAAAAATTAATCAAAAATTAATCTATATTGAAAAATATAGAATGAATTATAATGAAACTACCAATGCTAAAGAAGATGCAATGCAGACTAAAATATTCGTTTATCGATAACGTATCAAATCTGCGTGTCGGCAAATATAACATAAAAATCATTCGTACTATTTATTCGTACTATATGTACATATATATTCTATATTTTTATTGAGCACAAAATGTTTCCCCGAATTCAAATTTATTATCGCCATGTACAAGAAGAACTAAGATTAGACCATTTTAATTTTTATCCAGGAATGATTAGATTAATGGTATATTCAAATCTACTTGATTGCGATCGCTTTTGATCGCTTTTAAATATTCGTATAATAAGATTCTTAAAATTGATATTTTGTCCTTGGTGAAGTAGTGTACATAATTCAAAATAATATTATATATCAACATAATTCCGCAACATTTATTTAGTATTTATAAATATAATATTAAATTCGCACATCCGAGCTCAAATATAAAATATTCAAAAGCAAAAGATACGTTCATTACGAAAATATTAAATATTGAATTGAATAATGCATTTAGATCACTAGATTTTTCTAAAACATTTAAGCTATCTAGACAGATTTCGCGTTGAATTGTTCACATCTGTAATTCGTTTTTCTACTTAAAATACTTATTTCCAATGGCTGTCTCAACAAGAAGAGAATATACAAAAAGATGCAATGGTTATTACGGAAGCAAAATGAGGCGAAATTAAATAATATTAAAACTGATTATTACAATGCATACACAGTCAATAAAAAAAATTCTCAAGAAAAAAATCTGAATGTTTATTCTTATAATCCATTGATTCATTACAGATTGCCCTGGAAACAATTCTTCTCATATTTTTTAAATGAATTAGAATATTTTTCAAAAATACTCGGAAATATTCGGAAAGTTTACATATTCTCTCAGAACTTCTCATAGAATTATAAATAAATGAGTTCTGAAATATTCTGAAATTTTTCATAATTTTTAAAAAGTATTTTAAAATTTTTTAGATTTCGTAACATTTCATCAAAAATTATACTTACAAAAATCTTAAAAATCTTACGGTATTTCATAATTAATATGAAAAATTCTGAGAAATGTTTCAATTTGTATAAAAAATATGAGAAAGTTGTAAAATTATAGAGAAATTCTGAAAAATTATATGAAAAATTCTGAGAAAAATTTTCACCAGGGTGATGAAAAAGCGATAGAAATTTGTATAACTGTAATTTGTACATCTAATTTGTATATCATTCAGTCAATTTTGTAACAGAAAATATTCAATCTTCGTTAGATAGTGTCAAAAATAAGTAATTTAAAAATCTGTTACAATTAGAAACAGATTTGCTCGATCTTCGAATGATATTGTACTAAGAAAAATTGTATAGAATTTATTAAAACATAGAAGATAGTATAAATAGATTACCGTTATATGTAAAAACTACAATCAAGAATCGTTGTATAATGTCATTGAGAAAAAACATCGCTTCATCCTCACATAATAATAATTCAAATAATCAGACATCACGCCTAACGAAAGTTACTTATCTTTTTGTCAAAGAGAATCCTAATATCATTTTTACTAGAACTGACAAAGGGAACATTATTATTGCCTTGAATAAAGACTATTATATAGATAATGTTAACAATATGTTATTAAACACGAATACATATATTTTGATGAACATGAGATCCAGTGTCAAGTCTTATAAGAAAGACACAAGTTATATTGAAAAATTGAGACAGGAATACATTTCCAGCTCAATATATAGAAAATTGTATTGTAGTACGGGACATTGCCGAAAGCCTATGCATTTTCTAAGATTCATAAAGAGGGTATGCAGTTTAGAATGCCATCCGACCCAATATGTTCCGCGGCGCTATAAATTTGAACAAAATCTGAACAAATTGAACGTCGCTCGGAATCCATTGAGAACATTACAAGTGACGCGGTTCCTAGATCTTCTAAGCTTCACCAAACTAGACGTGAGCTAATGCAACCTCGAACGCTTTTGGAGTGAAGCTAGAGTACCATTGAAGACTCTTCGGTACTTAAAAAATTCTATGTTCTTCCGTGAATTGTTGTATTTGAGGATAATTTTAAATATAATATTTTTTTAATATTGTTTTTTGCAACATATCTTCTGTATTATAAATAAAATTATTCTACGATATTGTTATCAAGATATTCATTGATCAGTGTATTATGATGTCAAAAGATTCACTGATCAATGTATCTCACATTTTCGCTCTTGTTTAGATTTTTGTCGGTTCGTGATAATCTTCTACGACGAATCACCATTGAGGAACTGAGAGCCATACCACATCTCACTGGTCTGAATTTGTCGCATAATTCTTAAGATTGTGATGCTGAATTCACTGAATCTGTGCAATGGCTTACCGATCGTGATGTTGCACCTACAGAGGTACTTGAGTGAGTATTCAAGATTAGTCGTCAGTTAAATTTTATAGAGAACATCTCAATCTGTCATGTTTTTATAGACCTATCAATGATAAATATAACGATATTGAAGATTTTATGGACGTTAATCAGTGGACAGATTTAG